ATGCTGGTTTTTCATGCATCCATAATGTCTTTGGGACTCTCTGCCTCTCCTGTTGTCTCTGCACCGGCCTCAAATACATCACATGACTTCCCAGGCTAAGACACTAAGGGCCTTCTACCTGTTTCTCTCAGAAGATGTGGCTTTTCAGAGGCTAATTCTGTAGAGAATTCCCTTCAGAGCCCAGATACCATGTTGTGAGACACCCACAAATTCAGTCGCGAACGCTCCCGGTCCATCCGCCAGACTTGTGAGGGAAGGTGTCCTCGCCCACTCCAGTCCTAGAGCTGTCTTCATTTCTGAAGTGGAGGCCTAACGTTTGCTGCTGCCATCACAACCAGACCTGGGCACCAAGGACACCTACCGCTTGCTACAGAGCCCCTTGTCTGTGGAGCAGAGAAACCACCCGTCCTCCCTCAATGCTCCGGCCAGTGAGGACATACTTCACTGGTGTGCACCGTGTGCTCTGCAGTGGCAAGCAGTGTGAAGCACAGAGAAGCCATTTCTGCTATGCCGTGGACCATTTTTGGCCTACGAGGCAATGTGAAAAGGAATCATTTTACTTTGGGAGATCTGTTATGCAGTGTGTGATAACTGGAGTGTGTGGTAACAGAGGCCATTGGGGGAGATGAGATCACTGAGGGGAGCGTGGCGAGGGAAGGGAAAATGTGGAGAGCACTTTGGGGAGCTCCAGACTGTGCGGAAGGGAGGAGAAGAAGCTGAAGAGAAAAATACAGACTCCCCATGAGCAATGGAAGTCTGACAGAGGCAGGAAGCAGGCACATGAGGAGACTGGTATCATGGAAACCAAAGCCTAAGCTTCAGGGGTGAAGTGCTTGTCAACAGTGTCAAATGCTGCTGACAGGACAAGCAGGATGACTGAAAAATGCCTTTAGGTTTTAGTAACAAGGGCAGTGGTGGCTCAGCAAGAGCAGCTTCATCTGAGAGCAGAAAACAACCTCTAAATCCTTTGCAGAGAGCAGGGCATGGAGGAAGAATACACAAGGAGCTGGCTTGGGACCTGAGGAAGGAGGTAGGCTGCTTTTCCGTGTCATGAGAGAAAGGACAAGGGGGCAAGCAGGACCTCAGGAAGCATGGTGCATTTACCATGGGGAGTCTAGGGAGTTCTCTTCAGAGCACTTTCCCCCGTGGGCACCCTCTGAAGGGAAAAAATAAAAGGAGAGGTGCATTTTGTTTCTACCCTGTGCCGTCAGCTTACCTGGGGAGCCCTTGCCTGGCACCTGCACCCCATTAATCTCTTGAACATGAGATCTTGCGATTCAGCCATTCTCATGCGTGGACAGGGATGCAGATAGGCCTCATCACACCACATGTGGAGGACACTGCCACACGGAGCTCAGGGCAAGGACACGAGGCTGTGAGCGAGGAGCTGGGCTCAGGGATACGGCTCGACCTGCGAGGCTGATCCTTGCATTCCTGGGCTCCGCCTCCCCCTAGCTCTCCTGACTTGGCGTCTCGTCAAAAGCCTTGGAAGCTGCTGACCTATGGGAACAGTGTCCTAGGGCGCCGAAGGAGCCAGGCTGTGCTTCTAGATGTGCCGCTGTGAGGACAAGGTCGGCTGGGGGCCAGGGTGTGCTGATACTTGGGCAGAGTACGCCAGCAGAGGAGCTGTGACAACAGGTGCTCTAGTGACTTGGCTTTGATCTTATTTGGACTTCTCACACTGGAAAACTAAGTCTCAACTGGAGGGTACTTGCCTGGCATCGCACACCTGCAAGGCGATCGAGGCCTGCTCTGCTCCAGTGCACCGCTGTCTCAGTGATCTGGAACGGGCACCTGGGTTTCCACCGGGGCTCAATCCCATTACAGAGCAGAGAACAGATAGCAGGCCCGAGAAGGCAGGCTTCCCAGCAAGTAGGGCCTGAGACTGGCCAACGCTCGTAGAGCTGATGGAGCCTGTGGAATTAGAAGCCCTGGAAGCTGAAGTAGAGGGATTGCTTCCTCCAATTCCTGGGACGCCTGGACACAATTCCCCCCAGTCCTTCCTCTTCCAATCGCTTCCTACCCCTTCCATGTACTGTAGGTCCAAGTCCACCCTGGGGAGCCTTCCCATGGGCCTCACAATACAGATGCCCCCAGAGCAAGCGGGTCAGTGGGTGCTGCTGAGGCCTTCAGAGGGGCCTGGGGCTCACTCATGCATCTGTCTCTGTCCCCAGTATTCCAGCAAGAGGAACTAATAGATGGCTCAGGAATCCCCAGATTTAAAAGCCCATTAGAACAAACTATCATTTAATTAAGCTAAAGCTCTTCAAAGTGGTTGAAAACAGTACATTTATTAGTGCTGGAATGCTCTCAGAGCGGCTTTAGAAGGCTGCTTGTTCTATCTGCTTGTTTCTGTGAGTGTCTCCATTGATCATGGCTTGGTTGGTCTCTGCAGAACCACCATAAAGCAAACCTCCTCCATGGAGCTGTGATCTAAATTAGCATATGGTGCTTAAGAAATATTTATTGAGTGCCTACTATGTGCTAGAGTTCTGCAGTCTCCAGACTGGTACCCTTCATGATCGAGTGGAGACCTCTCTCTCCACTCCCTCTCCCCTCCCCCTCCTTTAGTATAATACATTACAGCACTCAGGTACTTGTCCTAGCCTGGATCAGGGTTTCAAACTACAGGGGAGCTCAGCAACAAAACAGCTCGAACTTTTCCCTAAGACTAAGAAAATAGTTGGTGTTTTTTTTTTTTTTTTTTTTTGTACTGGGGATTGAACTCAGGACCTTGCCCTTGTCAAGCAGGCCTTGTGCCGCTGAGTTGCATCCCCTCCTGAGAGTAGTTTCAGACACAAATCTGAAACTAATCTCAGAAAGGTCCTCAGGAAAGGACAGCACTTACATGCCGCTCTCAGGCCATGGACACAGCCCCTGCCGGTGTAAGCCACCCATGAGACGATCACAGGGTGGACTGTGAACTTGGGGTCAGATCATGAGTTCCTTCTATTAGTTTGGACAAAACAACCTTTCTGAAATGCTCTCTCGAGGAGATCCTGCCATCCCTTAGGAGCCAGTTAACTTGCTCAAGCGAATCTCCTGGGATTATTGCTGACACATGGCTCAACCAAGCAGACTTGCTCTCATTCTTCTCGATAATCTCGTCATTGCCTAAGAGAAGAAAGTTGGAACTAATAGTGTTTAGACAAGACAGCATGTCTGTATCATGTACTATGAATAACTACTCCAAAGACAACAATATGCAATGCATTAATTATTATAACTGTCCTACTAACCTCTCTGAAACTGTCTCATTGCTACTTTTTTCTCAATAAAATTAATATAATAAAAAAGAGAACTGTTGCCTAAGGGAAATAGTAATCAATGGAAACGAGAAAGCCCTTAGAACTGCAATGAAACATCTTTCTCTACTTCCTGGGAGTTGGTGAATTTAGGAGAGAAAGCACTACAGCTCTTCCAGTAACGAGACCCGTGAGTCAGTCAAAGCTGTTTTGACACTTTGAGTGGCTGCAAGAGACCCCTTGCTCTGGGGGAACTTCTCTTTGAGAGTAACTGTAACGATGTTAAGGAACAGAAGCAACTGAGGCAGGGGCAGGGGCGTCAAAACCAGAGTGCAGTCCGTGTTAGGCAGAGGGACCAATAAAACTTCTCCAGCCCAGATACAATTCAGAAAGGGTTTAATTAAACAGCCACTAAACATTGCACCAAAGCATTTGGAAACACAGTTGGTACAGAGAGGCAAAGGTCAGGCTTCCACTCTAAATTCTGTAAGACAATCATTTATAGCCCCACCCCCACCCCCATCCCCACATATCCACAAGACTACACTCTTCTAGTCAAGAATTTACCTACAGACACAGTCTTAGGAAAAAATGGGACTGGCATGCATTATCCCAGCAATGGCAAGGAAGCAGGGGGTCAGGGATGGATGGATGGATGAAAAGGCAACCAGCAGCTAAGGATGCGCCCCTTCGGAGGTTTGTTTCAGCAGGTGGCCAGGGACAGTCTGCTTGCTATGCCGTCTGCAGCTCTGCCTTGGGCGTTAGGATTCTGTGCACAAGGGCCTGTGATCAGATCCAAAGTGGCTGGGCACTCGTTCCTGTACCATGCCTCTTAGAAGCGGACTATGATAACGTTCTAAAGACCTTTTCAGGCCCTTACGACCCAGAAAGCCCATGGTGCTGATTCTGAGGTCCATATGGACCCAGCATTTCAGGTCTTTCTTCATTTTGGCCATTGAAAAGGGGTGCATTATTGTTATTAAACACACTTGTAAGGGGTGTAGGCAAATTATTCAAACTTCTGTGACTCAGTTTATTTACCTTACAAAATTTTTACATTTATGCCTGTCTCTTTTACTCACATTAAGAACACATGAAATCAAATGTCCTGTACCAAATTTGGTATAAAACTGGCAATAAATTTGATGGTGTAGCAAATTCAAAAACTGACTAGAGAGATTTGTGTTAATTTCCAGGTCACCCCTCTTACCCACTGTCACTGATGACACAGGACCAGAGGACCCTGATGTGGATGAAGCCCCTGGGCCTAGCTGAGGGCTGCTGGGAATTGACTTTCACCTGCCAGCAATCCTGTCTCAAGCTAAATTTGAGTGTTCAGCAGCTACCCACCCTTCCTATGCAGTGTTGGCGGGGAGGTGACTCATCCGTCTCTCCCAGCTCTGAACACCACTCATGTAGCCTCTGCTCCCAGCTCTTGGGCTTGGCAGGCCCTGCTGCCCGCGGGGGGTGCTGCACAGGAGCACGGAGCGCAAACCCACCTGGTGCCCTAGTAAGTCGGCATTTTCTCTGGACCTGTCACCAATTCTCCTTAGTCTCGACTTCTCAAATACCCAGCGTCACTTGGACAACAGAGTCTCCTATTCTTTCTGCAGTGGGCAGAGTGCAAGAAAATACACGCGATGCCCTCAGCTAGGGGAAAGTGGTATGCTAAGATGTGCAAGTGCACAAGTGGCAGTGTGTGGTTCTGATGGGAGGCTACTACACAGTGTCACAGGGACAAGTCACTTTTGTTACTATTGTTTCACTGAGATTCATAAATTTGAATTGAGAGTCACAGTCTGAAAGTGGGTTCAAAAGAAGAAAGCTGAACCATGTGAAGGGGAGGCTTCAGGGGCTACATCGTGCTCTGGTTGCTGCGCCACTCCTACTCCCTACTGTTTGCGGATCATGCCCTTAATAGCTGACTCCCGGTTCACATATGTGGCCCAATACACCAGATTGAATATAGCAAAGAGCACAGGAAAGATGATGCGGGAGATTTTGTCAACCTTGCTGACACTGTTGTAGGTCTTGGTCTCAGTTGGGCTATCCTGCACGAAGGTGGCCTTGGGCGAAGCGATCATGGTCGGAGTCGAGGACGCACTGGGAGTAGCGCCCTTGGAGATGGTGGAGAACTCAGTATCCTTGGCCAGGTTGATGGGATAGGTGGTCCCCACGATGTTAAAGGTGGTGCTGGTTTTCTTGGTCGGAGCTGCTGGTGTTTTCTTCTAGAGGTCAGGAAAAAAGGACACAAATGGAGAACAAAACAAAACCCAATTAATTGGTTACACAGACCTCCAGAGGCTTCAGGCAGAGGGAGCCATGCAGGAAGTTAAGCCACGAAGTAGGCAGGTGTGTGTCTAAGGATAGCGATGGAAGATGAGTTTGGAAACAGAGAACTAGCATGGTCCTGGTCTACTAGCTAGGTGGCTTCAGATAAGTCATGTGTCCTCTCACAGCTTCAGTTTCTTCATTTGTAAAATGAAGATCAAGATACTTGGCAGCTTGCTGAGAAGATAAAATGAGAAAATGGTGGGAAGAATCACTGGTAAACTGTGGTCACGTGGGGGACTTGTTCATCATGTGACTTGATCCTCAGCACACCCCTTGACATCAGAGGCTGAGATTGCTCTCATTTGGCATGAGAAAACTCAGCCTCAGACTAAATATCAAAGCACATGCTAGCAACCCAGGCTCCTGACTTTCAGCCAGGGCTGTACTGTGCTGTTCATGCAGGCGTGAGACCCTGTTTGGTAACTCAACAAGTACCTCCAAAAGGCTGCGACCATCAAGTGGCACAGCTCCCGTGGGGAAGAGTTTGGAGAGTCTGAAAAGTGGTCTGATCATAAAGATGCAAGGAGACGATGAACACTGCGGTATGTGTACACACATCACCCCGAGTGGTTGCCACCCTTCGTGCAGCGTAAATGTGCTCCGAAGCTCCGGGGTACGCCAAGCTTTCCTACTCCTCTAAGCTGCAGGCAGGAGCCATGGCCGCCCCAGAGAGTAATGGAAATGATGCTCTCTGATGTCAAGAAGGCTTATTTCTCAGACTAAAATATCTCCAAGACACAGTGAGGAAGCCAACACACGTGGACACAATCATGTGTGCATGAAGAAGAGATAAGAGACAGCATTCAGGTCTGAGTCAGGGCAGCAAGGCAGTGGCATGATTCCCAGCAAAGGCTGAGACATAGCTCGCTGTCTAGAGACCAGCGACTGTGTCACTCTTGCCTCTGGCCTTTTCTTCCTCCACTTTTCTACGGCTCCAGGGGAAAACGAGCACACAGGAGCCTTGGAAGTGCTCTCAGATCAGACTCCCCGCATGCTCTTTCTCATGTTACTTTCTTCGTAGTGTCTAACCTTTACTTCTTTGTTGCCACATTTCCTTCCTAGATTTTATTCCCACCTCCTTCCATACTGTCCCCCTTTCATTCAACCTCTGTTTCACTTCATCTTTACTTCATGTCTATCATTTTTGTATCTTCTCCGTTAGCCCTCACTGTCATTTAGCCTTCCTGATCATCAGCAGATTTTGTTCAACACGCACAACATATCTACTGGATGCAGAACTGTGCCTGGCTCTTAGAGTTAAATGGAAAGGTTAAAAGATAAGTCAACTTCTGTCACTGTCTTCTAGGGACTGCCTCGTGAATACATCATTGCCATTTAATGTGGCAAAACTTCTAATGTTTCTGAGAGAATGCCGTGGGAACTCAGTAGAGGCAGGGAGATAAAAATACTATCAAGTGTTAGAAAAGGCTCAGAAAAGGCCTGATGTTTGGTTCACAGAAGCTGATCGGAAATGCAGCAGATGAAGACACAGCAAGGTCAGTGCATGGGCCGTGCAAGGGGCTTGCTGGCCTAGATCCTACTGTGCAGGGCCAAGAGCAGCAGGGCCTTGGGGTGCACACAGGCCGAAGGCAGGTCTTAAAGGGCCTTGTCTGCTGCAATCTCCAGATCTTCCTTGTCTATGGTGGCTGTAGTGTGTGCCATCAGATTAGCTGGACTAATAGGACATTTTAAAGCAACGTTGCTCTTTCCCTCTGAAGGCTGCAGTCACATTGCTACAAATGGAAGGAGGAAGTAACTCGAAGGCTCCTAAGAATCTTATAAATGCTTTAAATACTACGTGAGACTCATTTATAATTACCGAAGTCGTTGTGTGAATAGAGTCCCGCTGCTAAATGTGTTTGCTATTAAATAAAATAGTGCTTTACTTGTTTGCCTGCTTATTAATTTGCTTAGTAATCTCTTTTTGTAAGTAGACCCCAAAAAAGGAGGGGGAGAAGACAAAAGAAAAGAAAAAAACACAAAAAATTATCCTTTGTTAGAGGATTTCAAATGTTGCTGCAGGTAGTCATCTTCTAATCCAGTTATGGTCAAATCTCTGAGACAGTCATTTGACATAACCATGTCTTTCTTTAGCCCCAAGGCACTCTGTGTGCCACAGGTGAGGTGAGCAACAATTGATTTAATCCTAGATACTTGAAGTAATAAAGGAAAATTACCTTGTGATTTCTCTCACCGTTTCCAACACAACAGTTTAATTAGCCTCTGTAATTTTACCTCCACTGTCACCGAAGGAAATCAAAGCAAAAGTTGTTGCATTGAAAAGACAAGAACAGGAGGCAGAAATTAGTGGTTGATCTTTCCCCATTTCTGCATCTAATGTTTCAATCCTTCTTGCCCAGGAACTTGCCAGGTGCAGCCTGCACTGAGGGAAGTTTGACAAGGCTGCTATTGTACTCCTGCCCGCCCCCAGCCAAATGCCAGGCTTTAGGCATGGGTAGGTATTTATTGAATGAAAAATGGACCCACCGCGCTGAAGGTTCCCAATGGGATGTCTGGCTTGTGTCCCTGAGTCTTGGGTCATTTCCATACCACAAAGCTAAAAGTCACTTTTGACATTCCCCAGGTCATCTGGTTGCTTCCACAAAGCCACCGCATGTGGCCTTTGGGCTGCGGGCCTAAATCCTCACGGAGACAGTGTGTACTGCACTCACGTCTTCTCCACATGGCACCCTGCTGAAGGGCTCTGAAACTGCTGTTTGGGGGGTAGTTTGGCCATCGAATATACTTACAACCTAACGAAGAGCTCAGAGTATAGTCTTCCCACGTCTGGTGCCTCTGTGTCAAACCCTGAGATGCCTCCAGATTAAGTGACCCTCAGTTTCCCCAAGTGGAACATTTCAGTGGAGTATACACTAAGTGAGATTCAAAGATGAACAAAGTCAACAGCAACAAAATCAAACAATTCAACTTCAAAAATAGTCAAAAGACTTGAGTAGGTATCTCCAAAGAAGACAAGCAAAAGGCTAAGAGGCACAGAGGAAAGTGCTCAGCATCACTACATTAGGAAAATACAAACCAAAATCACAATGAAATGACACCTCACATCTATTAGGAGGGCTACAACTTAAAAAACAGAAAATAAAAATGTATTGACAAGAATGTGGAGAAATTAGAACCTTTATACACTAGTGGGAATACATAATGGGATAGCCATTATAGAAAATGATATGGTGAGTGCTCAAGAAATTGTAGCTGGAATAGCACATAACCCAGCAGTTGTGCTTTTGTGGAGTAAAACTGATCCCAAATTCAAAGCAAGGTCTCAGAGAGTTATCTGCGCACCCATGTTCAGAGCAGCATTATTCTCCATAAATAAATAACGAAAACAGCCCAAGCGTGCATTAAGGGAAGAATCAAGGAACAAAATGTAGTCTATTCACAGTGGAGCATCATTCAGCCTTGAAAAGAAAGGAAATTCTTCTGTCATACTGAAACACGAATGAGCCCTGAAGACACTGCTCAGTAATGTAAGCCTTCCCCTAAGGGAAAACTGCTTGCAGCTTTCCCGCAGGAGATACCTAGAGTAATCAGACAGACAGTAGAGCGAGTTGAAGAGTTGGGCCAGGGGAAGGGAGGCACGTTGTTCAGGAGGTGCAGCTTCAGTTCTGAAAAGTGAAAAGCATCCGGGAGGTTGTGAATGTACTGAACACTAATGAACTGTGCTCTTAACACTGGTAAGGTGGTAAATTGGTAGCCTGTGATTTTATATGCACATTAGCTGAGTTCAATACACATAGTGAAGCAAAGACTCTGCCTCGGGAAACCTTGGTTAGTGAGGATGATCAATGCCAAATAAGATATACCTAAGATGTAACGAAAGAGGCACAGATAAACACTTAGAGAGGCATAAATAATGAATGAATTGTGGGAATTTCAAAGAGGAAAGAAATGTATCAGACACATAAGAGAGAAACAATCAGATGTGTCAGGGTGAGGTAGTCCGACTAGATGGAGAGAACACACAGGTGAAAGAAGCCCAACCCTCGTAACAGTGGATTCCCAGGAGGCTGTGGGTTTGCAGAGTGCGTGCGGGAACTACCCAGGTGCAGCCCGCAGCTGGGAGGGAATGAGGGGCAGAGCCTGAGAGGCTGCTGTGCTTCAGGGCCTGAGTGCATACAGCAACTGGCGGCAAATCTCATACAATGGCTTCCACATTCCCTGCAAGGCGAGTGAAAGAAACAGCCAAGATTTACAGAGATGGTTCTAGGAAGTAGAAGACAGACATGAGTAGAGGCACAGAAGGGCTCCAAGCATGGATCAAATGAGCAGCAGAATTTTAGTAAGTGTGTAAATATCACAATCCACCAGTGGTTGTAAGCTTGTTTGCAGAGAGGAGAAGAGTTGGACTGACGTGGCAGAGGCGCTGAGGGTGCTGCAGGGTGCTGCAGTGACAGCACGGGAGCTCTACTGGAAGACAGAGAGATTGTGCGGGCTATTCTTTCAGCCACGAAATAGCCCGTGTGTGTTCAGTATGTGGCAGGTCCTAAAGGTGCAGCAGGGGCAGTAAAACACAGCTCCTGTCCTTCAGCCGTTCACATTTCAATGAGGAGGGCAGGGAGTGAACACAGAAGCACACAGATGCGCAGCGAAGGCAACTCAGAGGAGGAGAACTGCAACAGAGACCGCTGAGGAGGGGCTGGGCCTGGAAGATACGCTAGAGGCAGTGTTGCTGAGAAGTTGGGCAGATGCCTGAATAAAATGAGAAAACAAGCTTTGAGACAATCTGCACAACCAAGATGCCACAGAGAACTGTAATGAGGAGGAACCTGGAGCTGCCCTGACAGTGATTTGTTCAGGGACACCAAGGGGACTGCGCTGGCCTGAGGGGACTGAGTGGCACACTGGGGATGGTAAAGCCAAGCTCAATGGTGCA